ACTCGCTTTGGGCTGGCTTCCCCGGGGAGGGGCACGTGGCACGTGGAGAGGACCATCTGAACCACTGGGTCTCAACAGCTCAGTTCTAGGCACACGGGGACTCAGGAGTGGCTCAGTGCCATCTCCATGTTCCTGGTGAGGTCACACTGGGTCAGCTGCTCCCGGGTCCTGGTGGTGTGTGCGCATCCCAGAGCACAAACAAGGCTCTTCCTGGGCCGTCCTGTGACCGGGGGGTTCAGTGTGGGCCAAAGGGTCCCCAGGGGGAGGTACGTAGTGAGCCGGGCAGACTCCATGCAAGCTGTCTGTCCCCAGAAAGAGCTGACTGAAGGGCTTGGTACCACCTTGTTTTTGTCACTCCAGTCTCACGTGTTTTTTCGTTTTTTGTTTTTTAAATAGGACAGAATATATTACATCTCAAATAAATGCATCTCAGTATATTGGTTACTTCTCATTAGCAGTTTTATCTTCCCAAGTCTTTTAAAAACCAAGAAACCAATAACCTACTTTTAGACTGCAATCTAAAAGTACCTGTGAGTGTCCTGTTCCAAACGGGTGGAACAGAATTCAATAAAATAAGGCGATGCACGTTTTTGGTTGTGCTCAGGGTCTGCAGTGAAATGGGCGACCAAAGAACAAGAAAAGGCTGTCCTTGCGATGAAATGACCGGACGCCACACTCGGCCTGAGTGATGGTCACTGTGACCTGAGTGGTTGCAGCAGCACAGGGCAGGGACGTGCTCGCCACTCGGAGGCGGTAACGGGATCACACCTGTCACCCTGTGACAACAGAGGGGTGGTCGCCGGAGGGCCTAGAATGAAGGGCCAGGAAGCCAGGCTGTGACAGTGGCTCACCCCCTGCCCGGACGCCCTGCCAGGGAGCTGGACAGAAGAGTGGATTCTATAGCTGTGAACCCCGAACGCTTCCTGTGGCCCAGAGGCTGCCCGGAAGCCGGGCTGATAAAGGCAGAGCCCTCCCCTCCCGGAGGTTCCGATGCGATCCACTCTGCTCCGGGCCGCAGTCTGAGGCGCCGTTTCCGTCTCCTGTGTCTGTGGCGGGCTATGACAAGTCCTGTCGTACCACCCTGTCCCACAGGTGTTTGCAGTGCCCAGAGTAACTTTTAATCCTGCTTGTGGCCCACAGCTACGTGGCCACGTACCAGCGGCCGAGGCACCTTCTGCGCTGTGTAGACAGCGCTTCCGGCACTGAGGTTTCACGCGCCTTTGTAAAACCTCATGGCACATAACGGGCAGACAGAGGGCCAGCTAGGGTGCTGCGGGTGAGCGGTGCGGCATCACACTTGTTTTCCTGGACACAAGATGGTGTTTTATTTTCAAGACCCGTGTGAGTGGGGCAAACAGAAGGGGTGCCCGGGGCTGGGGCAAGGGTTCAGGCCTGGATGCTGCCCTTGGCGCAGAAGGCCTGGTTAATAGCCGGTGTGTGGTCACAGCTGCCAGCATCTCTGTGGGACACCCATCCCAGGCACCCAGGTGTCAACACTGATGGTGGACAAGGGGCAGATGGGCTTTCCTCAGGAGGTGGCAGGATCCCTCACCGAAGCACTCGACCTCTCGGGTCCCCGCGTGGGCGTGCTGCTCACACCCCTGGGAACGCCCCACGTCTAGGCCGTGTTCCCCCACCATCGGCATAAAGAGGCGTGTTCTGTGTGCCATTCTTCCAAGCTGGAGGGAAGGCCACAATAAGTCTGTCTCTGGAGGTGACGGTGTCTGAGGTGGTGTAACAGCAAGGGGCCACCCCAGCTCCTCGCCTGTCCCCAGAGCAGCCTGAGGGGCTTGGACACAGGCACTTGCTCTCTCCACTGCTGCTGAGGGAGGGGACGAGAGTCACAGCTCCAGTTCCAACTGACGGGCAGTCACCAGGGTCAACGACATTAAATGAAGGCCTGAGGAAGGTGGCCACAGCGATGGCCTCCTGTGAGCCGCGCATCCCTCTGCCAAGTCCCTGCGTGGTCCCCTCTCACAAACCCAGGGCTTGGCCCCTGACTTGCTTTGGCCAATGGGACCTTAGTGAACGTGGTGCCAAGGCTGGAGCCCCGTCACCATGAGCAGCGGTCCCGCCAGCCTGCTGACGGCGGGTGACACACGGCCCACGTGCAAGGGCCCAGTCCACACCCCATGAGGCAGAGCGGAGCCACCCCAGCTGCAGACCTGCAGGATCTGAGCAAATGACTGCTTTAAGCCACTTAGTTTTGGGGTGTGTGTTACACAGAAATAGATAAATGTCCTTACGCTTCCCTCATTCAGGATGAGTCCTCAGAGGGTGTCCCAGGAAGCTTGATTTTTACTTAGCTGTCAACCAGTGGCCCTTGGTCACTGTACCTGGCACTGGGCCCTCGGGCAGGGCGATGGGCTTGCTTGTTCGCTGGCTGGCCCCAAAGGCAGGTGTTTCCTTGCGTCGGACAGCAACCTGATGCGTGTGGCTGGCTGCTGCGGGACTTTTGCCTGTGGTTAATTCATGCTGATCACTGAGCTCCTGCCATGTGCACTGCTGTCACATGGGATGCTGACATGTACCAGGCATGCACTCGGCTCGCGATCTGTGTGCCTTTCCCTTCCCATCTTACACGCGAGGAACCACGCGGAGGTCCGGAGTGACACCTCTGGCCCCACAGCCAGAAGGGGGAGCAGCTGGACTAGACCTTGGAGTCTAGCCTCTACACCCACTGGCCCTGCCCCGGCCCTAGGCTTGCCAGGCCCTGACCACTCTCTCTGCCTGCTGTGAAAATGAATTTAAAAACCTCCTTAAAATCTGGAGGCGAAGCCCTGTAGGGGAAGCCCACACCCAGACCACCCACCGCAGGAAGAAGCTACCTTGTCCCCCCCGGACAGGAAGCCTACTTCACTACTCAGGCAGGAGGAAGGTTTTCTCCTGGCCCAGCAACAGCCCAGCCAATGAGAGACCACCACACTCAGCCAATGAGAAGCCACCGCCTCCCTAAACTCTCGCTCTCCTTGCAAAGGACTCTGCTCCCAACTCGCTCCCTTTTTCTCTATAAAACTTCGCTCCCCTTCTTTCTTCTCACGACGGGTCTGTGGTTCATAGTTTGCGTGTCCCAAGTTGCAAATCCCCTGTTATTCTCTAATAAACCCATCTTTGCTGGTAAAATAACTATTCTTAGGGTTGACACCATCGAGTTCTAGTAAATCACCCAACAGCCAAAGGCGTTGCTCAGCCATTCCCCGCTCCTCTGCTCTCAGCGCCTGTGTTCAAGAACCGTATTTTTCCTTATTAAACTCCTTCTGTTCTGAACAGAATCACGACCTTGAGCTGGGTATTCTGGTCTTCAAAACTGCTGCATTTCCACGCGTGCTTATCATCGCGTGTAAACACTTCCCGGTGTAGCCGCACGACAGAGGAATGAGTTCGCTGCAAACACCGTAAAAAGGCTTTAAAACTGCCTTTCCTGCAAAACCGGCCGACCCACGACCACCTTAGCTTTGGCATGTGGACGGGCTTCAGAACTCACTGCGAGTGCCACACGGAAACGCGGGACCCACTCTGGAGTTTGGGGACCCCGATCTCGCACTGCGCATGGCTCTTGGGGAGGCCGACCGGCTAGAATGCGTTTGAACGTCCGGTTCTTGGCGGGTCCTCCCATGGGGTCTCCGGTGCCCCAGTTCCCACGCCAGGTCGCCCTCGCCCCGGCCCGCGCCCCGGGACCCGCGGCCCCCCGGCCCG